GGGCATTTGTTGACTAACTTCCTGCCAGGGCTGGCTTGATACCACCTACTACTTCACCTCTCTTTATCTTTAGCTCCCTCTCTCTCTATGTGGGCCAGGGTGGGGCTGTGCTGGCCATGGACTCCATAGGTCTCAAGCCCTTTGTCTCTTCTTTGGTTTTCTCATGTGAGTAAGGAGGGTAGCTGAGAGGACGGAGCCAGAACGAGCCAGTGAACAGTGGTATGGCCTACACTCACTGCTACCTTGTACAGGGACAAAATTCTACCCCTGTCCCCCTCTTGCTACTACTGAAGCCCCAGGTTAGGAGGCTACACCTGGCCTCCTGTTCCATGGGCATATGGCAAGACCACGGTGTCTTATGTACGTTCAAAAGGGACAGCAGGTGGTTGGTCTGAAGCTGGTCAGGTAGACAGGATGTGGAGGGGTGTAATCCTAGAGAGGTTTATGGAGCCCTGCCAGTTCCCATTCTCTGGGCCCCATCTCTTCTAGGTGTCTGAGATCAGGAACATTGGAGCAAAAAGATACTGGGGTGGGGGTTGGGCAAAGTGTAATAATCAGGAACTCTCTAGGTGAGGACGTATGGAGGGCGCTCAGGGAAGTAGGACATAGCTGAGGGTCACAGTTCAGGCATACCCCAACTCCCTGCATGCCCATGGGCCAGGCAGGGAGGGAAAGGCGGTGAGAACACGGAACCACCTCTAGACAGGTGATGGTAGGACAGAGGGCTGAGGAGTGTCCCTGAAGCTAGCGTGGCAGGAAAGACTTTGGCAGCCTCCAGGGTGAGGAACCAGTCGTCCTGGAAGGTGCCATCAGAGACTCGGGAAGGTGGATAGCGGTGGCTGAACTGCATGCGAAGGCAGGCGTTTGCAATGATACTCAAGGACAGGAGTGGTGACAGCGACCGTAAGGATACCCCAGGGATCCTAGACCAGAAAAGACTGCCAGGCCACTGGAGCGCGGGTCCAGGCTCTGCGTCTACCAAGAGCGTGTGCGCGGACCCGAGCAGGTGGCGCACGCTCATGACGCCATCATCGTGCGCCGCTTAGTTTTCTACCCAGCCTGAGGGCCTCTTTCTCAGAAGTAAACTGTACTGGGTGGTACGACTCTGTTAGGCCTGTCCTCGAAGCCGGAAGTCTTATTCCTCTTTCAGAAAAGGACGCAAGCAGCCTCACGGTGCTGCCCTTCTCTGCAAGCCTAGATACGCGGGTGCCGGTGGTCCGCGCCCGTGCTCCACGCCCCTCACCACAGGCGACCGGCCTTCCGGCTTGGCGGGCAGTTCCTTCCTCGCGCATGCTCCACCCCAGCAGGCTAAGCCAGCGGATCACGACTGCGGGAATTCGATTTACCTTCCCGCATTACAGCTCCGGGAAATCTCCCGGGCACCAAGAAGAGAAGCGACCCACGAGGGGCGGCCGGCCTGGTACGGCCGTCTCAGCCTTGCGCGCGAGGGACAGAGTCTGGGTGCCCCCAGCCGTTACCCTGTGGGAATTGCCCAGGGCTCGGTAAGCGCGTTAGGAGGCTTCGCCCCCCTTCCAAGTAGTGAGTCGCGGGAATAGTAGGCATTCGTGTAGAGCTGTGGAACAGAGGGTGACACGTTTCCTCTGAGATCACTTCAGGGGGGAAGTCCTTGTAGCCTAGTGGGGCGTTCCAGGACAGGTTCCTAGGTTTCGCTCTGCCAATGGGAGAGGATGAAGTGGGTGTAGTGCGTGGGTATGGCCCACCCAGTAAAGGAGACAACTGTGACTACAGTGTGATAAAGGGCATGCTGGAGGCTTAGGGCTTGACACAACCTGATTGGAGGAGAGTTGCTCTCAGGGATCTTCCAAGTAGGTGAGGGAGGAGGGGAGCTCCAGAATTACCCTAGGGGCCATGTTTATACATGTTTCTCAGAATTTTCTGTGGTTCTCCATTGTCCTTTCAGGTCATTGCTCCCCTTTGCTGGCATCTCCATCCCTTGTGGTAGGTATGCTCAATCCCTAGCCCCAGATCTTGAGGTCTGGAGTTCTTCAGACACCCCAGTTTTGACCCCTTTACAGACCCTTGTCCAAAAAGGTCTTTGAAAATACACAGGAAATAAAAGCTTAGTCAGGAAAATACTTGAGTAGTTAACCAAGATTAAATATTTACTGTCGGTGCTGGGAGGAATACAACTCAAAAACCAGAATTTTTTGTTACCTAACGGAGATGGACTTGGTACTAGGAATGTGGCTTAGTGGTAAAATCTTCCCTAGCTTGCCTTAGGCACTGCATGTGATGCGGGGATGGGGCATTTTTCTGGAGTGATTGGCTTTATTTTTCTATTAAGTTCTGTCATTCACCTGTATAGGAACATGGAAAACCCCAGTGGGTTCCTGTGACGCACTAACAAATTTCAAGGAATTTGGGGTGTGGGAGCTGAAGGGTAACTGCCTGAAGCTTTAGCCTGGAGCAGGTAGGACAACCTCTCCTCAGTTCCACAGCAGTGAGGATAGGCTGCTGGCTGTCCTTCAGGTGTGTTACCTGCTCCCCTCTTGTCCTTTGTCTTGGGGGTGGGGCACAATCAATGGGGGTCAGAGTCTCCAGGTTGTGTCAGATGGTGGAAACTGGCTTAAGGCTGATAGAAGCTGAGTGTGACTTTCTAGTTTGTCTCAGGCTCTGGCTGTGGGTAGGATTTGGTGACTTGAAGTTTCCCCATACACCTCTGTGAAGTCATCACACCCAGCCACCTCCTGAGTTCTCTGCAACCTTGGCCTTGCCTGCTAGTTGGTGTGGGCAGATGGAACTCCAAGCTAAAACTGGAACCTGCTTTGGCTCCAGAGTAACTTGATAATCTGCCCATCTCTCTTTCCTTTTGGTCCTATGGCTGCAAGCGCAGGCAGCGGTTCCAGCCCAGTAACCCCCCTCAGCCTCCTTTCTAGCCTTCAGGTTATGGTTAAATGCAATTGGCTCTCTCCAGATCTCTGCCTGTTCTATGGCTGCTCTCATCTGCTCACTTCTCTCAAGCCCAGACCTGTTTGCAGCTCTCTCCCACACACTGATACCCCTCTCAGGTCTCAGCTCTACAATTAAGGCTTCATTCTTCAGGTGATGTTTGACACAGCTTCACAGTGGGTTCTACCAGAGAAGCTGGCTCCTCCATGTTCGTGCTGAGGGACTCAGACCTAGTTAACATTTCTGGCTTAAGGCATGTCTGGTTTTGAGGCCAGTGTTCCCTATGTGCATTGTGGCATAATCAAGAGGATCCTGAAGATTGCAGGGGAGTAGATGAACATCAGGCTGCTCCTAGGGATGGTGCCACAGCGATATTTACATAGGCCAACCTGTACTATGCTTCCAGCTGCGTATGTGCCCTTTCCTTCCTGCAGGAGGGACAGGAGTAAGACTCATGAAGGTGTATGGTCGTTGGCTTCTCTGGGGGTCAGCATGTAGGAGGATGGGGTCTCCTTTGCACAGTTACTGGGCTTTGCCTGCTCTAGGAGCTGCCTGGAACCTGAGAAGACAGCAAACAACCTTGCAACTCTAGGAAGAAATCTATCCTAGGTGAGAACTTAACTCTCCAGGAGGTATTGAGCCAAACACTTTATGGAGGTATTATTTCAGTCTTACAATCCAATAAAGGCAAGTCCTTTTGTAATCCTGTTTCTCAAATTAGGAAATTAAGATTAGGTGAGTTGTCCAAGATCAAATTGCAAAGGTGGGGCCTAGGTGGATGTCTAATTTTGTGCCATCCAGCACTTATTTGGGAACAGGCTTGAGGGCAGCTTGTGCCAGACCAGCATTGCCCCTTCCCCCCCAGTCAAGCTGCTGAAGTCCAGAGCGCATTGCCTGTACTCTAGACACAGGAAGATCCTTTGTGTCTGGGCCAGCCCTGGTATCTGTGTGGGAGGTGGGGACAGCTACTGTGGGACACCAGGCTTTGCTGCCTAGCCCACTGTCATGGGAATTGGGAAATCTGTGACCACTGGGAACACATGGGCAGCACAAGTCCTGTAGTGCAGGCATTGAGTGGCAACCTGCCTGAAGCTCCCAAAGGCCTTGTATTCCCTCTACAGCTCACACCCACACTTGGCCTGCAGATCTACCTTCAGGCTTTATGCACCTTGCCACAAAGATGGTTTGATTTTCAGGGATCCAGAGATACATATTTCAAGGCCACAGGAACCACGATTTCTTTCCTCAGAGGCTCTAGGGTGGGAATCTATTCCTGTCTGTGAGTCAAATGCTTAACTTTTCCCCTACTGAGGCACTTGGACAGGCCTTTACTTTCTGTCCCTTGAACAAGTAGGAACACTGGTTGATCTTGTCCTGCCATGGGAGTCCTTGGCCAAGGCACAACTGTGGAAGGGCAGATGGGGCCATAAGGACTCAAATCAGAGCTCTGGGACCTGTGGTAAGGGACTCCAGCTAGAGATACCCTTGAGGTTCACTGAGTGATATGGGGTTAGGTGTCCAGAAGTCCCTGCCAGATAGCTGGATGGTCCCTATCTGCTCTAGGAAGCTGCCTACCACCCCAAGGAAAGGTCCTCTGCCTAGAGCCTTAGGGGACCACAGGGTAGATGCCTCTGCCTCAAGATCCCTGTACTTCCCAACCAGCATGAGGCTCATTTCATAAACTTAGTAGGTGAGGTAGATTGTGCCACAGGCTCATGGCAGGACAGCCCTGAAACCCAAGGCTCACCCAGCCACTTCTCCCTACAAGGGAGGCTCTGGCTTATCCCTCCACACTGACCACTTGTAACGTCTGCCAAGCCACATCAGGGCCTCATTGACACACCTATCAGCTGACTTTGGGACCTCCATCACTGGTCAAAGGAAGGGTGGACGTAGGCTTCTTAACCAGGGGCTGACCTCTAGGAGAGCTGACACTAGCTGCAGTCAGTCTGCTTTCGGGGGGCACACTGGGCTCGGACACTGCCTGCTGCAGTATCTTCTAGGGAGCAGTGGGCTTGTCCCTGGGGAGTCTCAACCATTACTGCCCACTATTCACAATGTGGGCTCACAGATAAATGGATGCAGGAGCGGGAGGCTGCAACAGGATCCGGTTTATTCTGCCTTGGCAGGGTGGTCCTGAGAGTGGCGGGTGCCACCCTGTCCTGGGTGGGAGGGCCCGAGGGCCAGTTAAGGCCAGTGGCGGGAAAAGCAGGGGGCACACAGCCCCTGGAATGCGGTCAGTCCAGGCTGAGGCCTGGAGGCAGCTGTGGTAGGCCAGGGCAGGGTGCCCCTGCTGCCCAGGGTGGAAGGCACCGGACTGAGACCGGGCCATGGCTACGGGGCCGTGGACCCAGGCCACACAGGCACCTAGGGAAGCAGGTGCAAGGGTAACACAGAACATGAAACACAGGTACACTGCTCTCGAATAAGCACATGGACAAGTGGGCATAGATTCGCGGTAAGAGTGATACCCAACAGTGGCCAGACTGGACAAGCAGACACAATGGCAGTATCACATACAGACCATAGGGGGAGACATAGCACTATGGAATACTATGGCTACCATGGCCACAGAACTTGGGATAGGAAGGGGGCCTTTTGGCACGACTGCACTGGAATCATATGAGGTGCAGGTGGTAGGAGGTGGCCTGGAACAGCCCCCATACCCACTCCCTGGGTTTAGTCTGTCTTCCACACTTTGTTGAGCAGCTTTACCACCTCATCATAGATGATAAACACGATGGCCACATCCAGACAGACCCGGCCCAAGCGGGGGACAGTGCCTTTGTAGAATCTGTAAGGGGGAGAGTATGAGGTTGAAGAGGTAGAAGACAGGATCCCTGGAGAGGATCTCTCTCAGAAACTGAAAGGGTCAACCTAGGGCAGGAGGGTACAAGACCACAGAAGATGGGGATGGGTGCAACACCCCAGCCCTTCCTTTACTCACGCCCTGAGCCCCTCATTCCTCAGGATCTGCAAGCCACAGTCCCATGTGTTCCGGTATTTGTGTGCCTCTAGGCCCTGCAGGACAGCAGTGGTGGGCCAGAGTGCTCAGCAGCAAAGCCCTGTTCTGAATACCCTTCCCACTTCCTCAGCTCCCTCTGCCCCCAACCTGCATCCGGGTCTTGATCACGTCCAGAGGTGTGTTCCCAAAGACACTGGCTGCGCCCGCAATAGCTCCAAAGACCCCGGTGATTAGTGGGTTCATAGGCTTGTTGGGGTTGTCCCCTGAATATAGGGTAAGGATTATAGTCACAGGATGCTGGGAAGTAAAAGGGGGCTAGGCTTTGAAGGCTGGGGAGGAGCTGGGAGCAGGGTCTATGAAAGAGGCCTCCTAGAGATAGCCTAAAGGGAGAAGTGAAGCTCACAGCATGTGTAGCAGGGATAATGGGGAACAGACATACCTCGGTACCAGTTGCGCAGGGAAGTCATGACGAAGAAGCGGATGGCTTGATTTGAGCCCTGCTTTAGCACAGTGGCTGTGAGACCCTGGTATGTCCCCTTCAGCCCTGAGAGCAGGCAGGCATAGAGTCACCCTGGTGCCTCCCAGGCCCCAGCTAGGCGTTTTGGAGTGGGTGTCACATGCAGTGCCAGAATGGCAAGGCCCCTGACCCTGCTGAATGGCTTACCTTGCTCCCGTACAATCTCCCTAACCCCATGGAAGAATCCTCTGTACTTGGGGCTGGCAGAAGTCTGGTCGTGGATGAACTTCACCTGAGAGAAAGGAAAGCACAGGAGCTGGCTCCTGGCCACTGCCTGAAAGGCATACCTGCCCTTTTGTTAGCAGACCCAGATCCCCCCAAATCAGGACAGAGCTCCCCATCTGGAAAGCAGTGCTGCTCTAGGGGCCTTATCCTGGGTCACCACCACAGAGAAGGCCCCAGAAAACGAGAGGAACCATCTTGTGAAGGAGACTGCATTTATGTTTTGTTTATAGAAATGGCAAAAATTACTTTTTTCACTTTGTTTTTTAGACAAGATCTCTGTAGTCCAGACTAGCCTTGAACTTGCTGTGACCCTCCTACCTCTGCCTCCTGAGTGTTGGGATGACAGTCATGTACCACCTTGCCTGGCTTTAATAATGTTTTTGTTTTTGGGATAGACAGCCCCCACAGGACATCCTTCCTATCCTGCATCTTGTTCCCAGCACTGTGACCCCTTTCTTGGGTCCTCCCCACTTTCATAATCTTACTCTGTAAAATACTGGGCCTCCCAACCCAACCCCCTCCTCCATGAGAACTTCTGGCCTTGACCGTCTCCATAGGGTGCATGGTCACCACTGCCTCAGGGATCTTGTATCTCCTGAGGCAAATCTAGTTTCTAGGACCTTGCCTACCTTGATGGTCTCCATGGGGCACACGACCACCACGGCCTCAGCCACACCTGCACCCAGGCCGCACAGCAGCCCCCTAGTGCTATCCAGCCGTCCTTGGGCATCACGCATGTGGTTGCTGAGGAACTCAAACATTCCAAACCTGGGGGTAACAAGTGGGTAAGAAAGCATGCCATCAAAGCCACCCAGACCTCCAGCAGCCCAGGACCCAGGAAACCTCACCTGACAGCTGCCTTGGGGATAGAGCCATAGAGCAGGGAGCTGAGGCCACGGTACAGGCCCAGGACGCCATGGCTGCGAACCGTCTGCCGCACGCAGTCCCCTGCAACAGGGGATGGTCAGGACTCTAGCCCACTCCCAACAGCACCCTGCCACCCGCAGCCTCGTGGTCACACCCTACTTACCAATACCCTTATACCGCGGCGGATTCGAGCGCTCGTCCAGCTGCAGCTGAGTTTTCACGTACTCAGTCGGGAATGTGATACAGATCTCGATGCCACCCGCCAGGCCGCCTGCAGGAACCGGGTACCCGGGTTCTGAGACGCCCCCGACCGGAGGCCCCGGGCGCCGGCTGCACGCACATCAGGCCCCTCCCCCGCCCCGGACTTTGCCCGGAGTTGCCGAACACCTTCACCGCTAGGAGGCCGAGCCGGGTCCCATTACCCCACCCCCTTGTCCCGACGAGGCGTGCAAGATTCATGGGGCCAGTGCACTGCGCCGGCTGGAGACGTGGGCCGCACCCCCGTTACCTCAAGTCCCCAAACCAACCCGGAAGTGGGGCGGGGCCTCCGCCTCCCGGGACCACCCGGAAACGCGGCAGGGTAGGCGGGACAGGGGTCCAAGTCCCGCAGGGGCCCACCTGCCAGGATCGCCTTCCCGGGGTGCGTCAGCTTGGCTTTTCCGGTCGCTGGTGCGGCGGCCGCCAAAGGGCTGGGGGCACGGGGGACGGCCATAGTGGGCAGGAGGCGGGGCGCCCAGCGTCGGCCTCGGGTCCGAGCCTCCAGCACTGGGCACTCAGTCCGTGGCTGCGGCGGTGGAGACCGGTTATGGTCCCGGGGGCGGGGCGGCCGGGTTTGCTCCTGAGCTCCGCCCAGCGTGGCCTGAGCCCGGCCCCGCCCCCAGCCCGCCCCGTGCAGGCCGGGAAACTGAGGCTGGGGCGGGGCACATGAGGCACGCGTCGGGGCGGGGCCGAAGCTCGGCCAATGGCCAGTGCCAGGCCCTGGAACCCCGTGAGCCCTGTCTTCTGAGGTGGCGCTTTGCGCCATTGGGGCACTGTGGGTTGTGGTGCAGTTTCCTTATGCCTGAGGCAGAGACGCGCCTGGAAGTAGTAAACCTGGGATGTGCCCAGAACGACAGGATCTCCAGAGATCCTGTGCGTACCCTCCCCAAGACACCTGCGGACTCAGTGCCCATTACACACACCGGGGACTGGGTGAAGGCAGGGGTAATGAGTAACCATAGGGGAAGCCGGCAGGGGAGACCTACTGTCACCATCAGCAGCTGGCCTGCAGAGGGAGAAGCCCACAGTGAGCAGAGATCCTGCTGCCCAGGGTGGGGCTCCTCTCGGCCTCTCCCTGTGGTTTGGGTTTGGCCTTGGGACACCCTACAGACTGTGTGGTTACCACCCTGCTCCACTCCCAGCAAATGTGTTCAGGAAAAGACCAAAACCCAGCCCGGTTGCATTGTCCCATAGGATTTTTCTGGGCACACACAGGTCCCGTCTGGGTAACCCAAAAGGTCCCAAGTTATTTTTGTACATTGCAGGGCGTAGTGTATCAGCTCCTACACACACCAGCACCAAGCAGAGAAGCTTTGCCTTGAGAAAACCGATTTTAATATTCATGATCAGCAGGAGGCTGCATCCTGTTAATGAGGTGTTCCTGCTGTGTCTGTGAAGTGGCTTGGAGGAGGAGCTTGACCCAATCTGGGAGTCAGGAGAGCACCCCTCCTTCTACATGCCTGGGAATCCTTGCAGACAAGTCCCTAACTATGTCTGGCTCCAGCCAGAGGCCCTACAGACAAGGAACCATCTCCCCGCTGGCACCTAGTGTTGCTCTTCCTCAGCAGTTATCTATTTTGGCCTCCCCAGGCTTTTCAATAGCTCAAAGGTGGCATCAGTAGGCTTCAGCAAAAATAAATAATGTCCAGGTGTCCTGCCTCCCAACTGAGGTCCTCTGTGCTTCTGGAGTGCCATGTTTCTTGGAAGGGTAATGTCTTGGTAAGAAGAGATGTGAAGACTCAGCACCCACTACACACTGAAGCCATACACAGGAGGCTGGGTGAAGGCAAGAGTGATCCAGTATCCATGGGGGAAGCTGGCAGGGGCTGGGTGGCAGCAGGACCAGCTGTTAGCATCAGCTGCTGGCCTGCAGAGGGAGAAGCTCACAGTGAGCAGAGCTCCTGCTGCCCAGGATGGGGCTTTTCTCTTGCTTGCTGTGAGTAGCTGGGGGCCAAAGGAGTCCCCGGGGTTGGTGGGTCCAGCTCTGATTAGGCCCAGCCTGAAGCACAGGGAAAGCAAATATCTGGAGAAAGGTGGTGGGGTGGGTGCACTGTTGTAGGGCTAGCCAGAGGCTAAAGAGTGATCCGATTCCCAAATGGAACACTTACTTAGCTCAATCAGATGAATCTCATTCATGCCCATCAAAATCTAAAAAAAACCCCAAACATATTGACATTAATGGCTCAGCTGGTGTGCTGCATGCTCATGCTACCCCCTCAGGCCTGTGATAGCTCTGCAGTGTATGCTCAGGACCCAACAACCTCTCTGCTTCACAGCCAGGGCATTCCAGGCAGGCTCTTAAGTGCAAACACCTTCCAGAAAAGCAAGCAACAATTGTGCTACCCACGGATGAACAGTAGGACACAGCAGCGGGCCAGTGGACAGCCCTGAATCAGAAGACACAGGCCCTCAAAACACGGAGGATGCTGGGCATGCCAGTGCTCCTGGACATACTGACCTTCATACCTGGAAGCCACTGGGGCTTCCCCACCCAATCTATCTCTATCTGAAGCCTCATCAAGGCAGGGCAGAAAAGTGTGAATTCCTCTAGTCTTCCCTGCCCCAGGGTGCCACCTACCAAACATTAGTGGGGTGGGCTCCCCAACATGCTCCTCTTCCTTGAGCAGACTCTCTAAAGCATTCAGTTTGTCAACCTGTAAGAAGTGGGAGCCAGTAAGCATCTATCCAACAGAAAATAGCCCAGGCTCTAGGTGAGCGTGGAACAGGAGGTTTGAACACAAGGGCCTGTAGGACAGTTCAGAGCTAACTATGTGCACAGGGGCAGACTCACAGTGGCCTAGTCTATGCCCCTACTCTATACTCCAGTGCAGGAATGCCACAATGAGGTGAAGGCTTGGGATTTTGGGCTAAGATGGAAGAGGTGGCAGATCCCTGTTGAAGACTCAGCTGAAGTTCCAGTCCAGCAACTTCCTGGTGGGCCTATGGTCTGCAGGTACACCAGAGCAAGCCTGGTCTTCCTCTGGACACAGGGATACCACCACAATGCCCTCTTCATCATGACTGGAATCTTGTCTGCCTCTGGCAGAAACAGGTTTTGGGGCAAGGGGTAGACAGCAGTGGGGAGCTACCCCTAGAGCTACCAAGTGTCTGAAAACTCTAGCTAACCCTGAGTTAGCTGTGCGGCTGCAGTGCTGTCCAACGTGACAATGGTTATAAACACTATTAACCACAACAGTACATGAGCCCCAAAATTCATAGGGGTGTCTCCTCTTGGCCCAAGCCCTACAGAGTGACATCTCTGAGGTGTGCGATCCTCTCAGAATCTCTTAACTTATAGGCCTCTACTGCCATGGAAAGTTTCAAGCTACACCTGTCCTTCTTAAGCAGGGGTTCCAAAAGCCAGCACTTGCAGGTCAGCACACTACAAGGAAAGGAAAAGCAGCTCATTTGGGAATATGCAGTTCCTGAGCAGGTTCTACAACACATCCCTTCTATGGGGAACTACTGTCTATTGTGGCCTGGGAAAGCAAAGAGCCTTCTAAGCCCAACCGGTCTGTGTATCCAGCCACTCAGGCCAGGCAGTCAATACTGCCCTGAAGGTCATCAGGGAGCCTCATACCCAGACATGCTATGGGATAGGATTGGGTCAGACTCTCCCATAGTGGGGTGATGGCCCTGAATGATTTCTCGGGTGGCTCTCACCAAGGACTAGGCAGCTTCCAATGGCACTCTAGAAAGCAGACAGCCCCGAGGCACCTTGTTGCAGTTTTTGTGTGAGCTCACTGTCCTAGGCTTTCTTCTCACACACCATGGCAAAAAACCTCAGTAGGAGGCTTGTAGAAAGCCTGGTGGTTTGTTAGGCTTGGTGTGTGGGTAGAAAGGCAAGAAGGCACTGCTAGGTGGCAGGTAGGTAGGTGGCTTTTCCAGAGTGCTACAAACAACAAATTGGGTCAGATGACACAGATTTCTGGACAGTGGCTGAAGCTAGATCCCAGAGACTCCTAGGACTTTGATACCCAGGAAGAATTTTAATACCAGATACTGTCACCTTGATAAGGAAGGTAAAGCCACCCCCTCCACTGCTGTTGCAAAGAGCCAGTAGTGCGGTAACATCTGTACCAAGTGTTAGGCAAAGAAGGTCACAACCCAAAGAGCCAACAACAGCTGTACCTTGAGACTCCTGGATGCTCCGAGGGCACACAGTTTGGCCCACATGGAGCCAAATAGGCTGTGTGCTGGAGGATCCAAGGAGTGCTGGCACCACTAGTCAGGGCTGTCAGCAAGCAGGCTTAGTGTAGGAGAGCTGCTGTGAGCAACAAGTGATCAGTTTTACCTACTGACTCTGCAGTAGTTTTCTAGCAGGTAGAGAAAAATACTGTACAAAAAACCACTAGAGCATGGATGGAAAAGGCCATTCCTGAAGGCAGGCCAGGGACTTGTTGGGCAACCTAGGCTGGCATCAAGCAGGCTCACCACCTGGGCCCAGTAGGCTCAGAGCCAGGGTCACTACCAGGGATGGGCAGTGCCACACAGAGGGTCCAGGACTTACTTTGCTAACGTACTCCCTCATCACCTGGATGAAGTAGGGCATGGCAAAGTTGATGAGGTTATGTCTCCAGGCCAGCTCAAGCACTACATCTGGGTGAAGCAGGTCATAGCAGGTGAAGAGAGAGGCTGTGAAGCACTCTCGCTTGCCTTCCTCCAGGAACCACTGCAACAACTTCTCCACAAGCTCAGGATCACGTGACTCTGCAGCGTGTTGTATGGCATCCTGTGGTGAAGGCAAATACACAGCATGGGCTACACTGCACAGCAGAAGCCTTGAGCTTGCAAGTGGTTGGGTGTGCAGCAGGGCCAAGTTCCTTCGTTGAAGACTTTGATGCAGTGTCAGTGTGGTCACAGATGTCTGCTTCCAACTGGCTAAGGCAGTCCTGCTGGTCTGTCTTCAACTTTGCCTAAAATGAAGACCTCTTTGTGTTCTCTCTCCCTTGGACCTTGGCCATTTCCAGATTTCCTGTGTTCTGCACTGAGTTTAGATGCCTAAAGTGGCTTCCTAGACCACTTGAAGGCTCTAGGAGACCTTCCCAGCTAATGTCCCTGCTCTAGTTGTCTGGAACCTTCCCCTTCTCTCTTCCTCATCATAAGCTGGTTTTCTCAGTAACTCTCAAGAGTTGCTTTGGATTGTTAATTGTCTATCTCTCCTCCCAGACTATTGCTGTGGCTGTCCCCTTGCCACCCACCCCAGCATGCTACAACTTCACTGCCTGTGGCTCAAGTTCTTTACCCACAGGCATGGAGAGGCCCTGGCCTTCACCTGCCTCCTGTCTGGCCTGTCTCATGTATGTGGCACCTCACTGTGCTCAATCTGATTACACACCAATCTTCAAGCTGATGCTGTCCATTCTGCTTTTATCTAACTCTTCTGCCTTCTAGAAATACTTTTTCTTATTGTCTCTCCCCAGTGAACACACTGTGAGACTGTGCTTTTCCAAAAGGATTTATAAGAGGTTCTAATCCTGCTCCAGAGCAGGATCGTCCAGACAGCAGTGCTGACACTTGTAAGGGAATCACCTGAACATCAGCGTCATCCTGAGCACTATCTCTGGCCTTCGTTACCTAGTAGAGCACTATACTCCCAGTTGTGACAAATACATGTTCCTTAGGGGACAGAATCATTCCCTATAGGCTCAGGCACTTTCTATCTTCTGGATTGTCTTGTTTCATGTGCTCTGAGGGGGTCACTGGCAGTGGGAGGTTGACCCCTAGTAGTACATACACTACTGCTTGCTCATCACTGTCTGATGGTGAGGAGGCTCTGTATTCATGCTCCTGAAAGGTACAGGGACAGACTCAGCGGCTGTGACCAGAGGGCCAAGATGTGTCTGAGTTCTACTGCTGCCTCCCAGCAGCCAGGTCCTACTTGCTTCTGTGTATTGGTTTCAGAGTTTCAAAAGCATTTCTTTTCTTTCTTTCTTTTTCCTTTTCTTGTGGAACCAGGGATTGAACTCAGGCCCTTGCACTTTCCAGGCAAGCGCTTATTCTACTGAGCCATCTCCCTGGCTCCTCAAAAGCATTTCTTCTCGGTGCATTTGCAGGTGTTCTATCAGCTCTCAGGAAGGACCACAAGTACCATCTCTAAGGGTTAGCACTCAGAGAACAATAGAAAACACTGGAGATGACAACTTGGGGTGAAGCCCGAAATAATTCTGACAATAAAGCTCACAGGCTTTTTGACAGGATTTAAGCCACAGCTCAGGGGCTGTGAGAGTGAGGCGCCTGTGCTAGGCAAGTAGTGCTCAGACAACCCTGAGGAATAACACCTTCAGGTCAAGATTGCTACCTCCTGGGAGGGCTTCTAGAGTTTCCCAGAACTTGGAGCCCCCCCTTAGGAATCACTCAGCTTCATACATGTAGCCACAAGTGCCCACATGTGCAATTCTACTTGGGTCCAGTGAGAGATCAGGGCAGGCAGAGGATGGCAATTCTTCTGGACAGCCTATTCTGATGCTTAACCACCTCTCGCTGGTGAAAACAAATGGTTTGAACATAATTTTACTTAGCTTTTTAAATTCTATGAATCTTGGTAGCAATTAAAGTGGATGACTAAAAGTGGATCTTAAACTAGGGGTGATGGTGCACACCTTTAATCCCAGTATTCATGAGGCTGAGGAAGATATACTGCAGCAAGTTTGAGGCCGGGCAGGGCTACACATTGAGTGCAAGGTCAGTTTGAACTACACAGTAATGCCTGTCTCAAACTTAAAATAAAAAATAAAAAACAAAAACTGCTGTATGAGCCTGTATGGTGGTGCACGCTATAATCCCAACATTCAGGAGGCTGGGGCAGGAGAACTGACATGGGTTTGAGTCCCCCTGAGCTACACAGTGTGTTCAAGTTCAGCCTGAATAGCATAGTAAGAGCCTCTCTAAAAACAAAACAAAGTCAAGTGAAATAAAACATAAAACAAACCTCCTGCCATACCGAATTCAGGAAACTCATGTACCTTCTGGAGAAGAATCAATTCCATGACTAATAAGAGTCTTTCAATCCAAATCAGATCCCTCTTAACTCTCAATCCATGTTTTAAAAATAATTCTTCCTTAACATCAGTCCTCTAACTCATCCTGAAGATCTTCTGGTGAAACTCAGAGCCAGATATCAGGAAAAAGGGAGGCTGAGCTCCCCTAGTGCTTCAGGCATTAGGAAGTACAGCAAGGTGATGAGGCCAAGAGGAAAAAGGGTATGGGGCCACCAACCTTGTAGAGATGGTCCTTCTTGCAGAGCTCCACGCTCTGAGCCCACCGGTTGTTGCCCTTGTACAGATGAGCTGCAATGCGCCTGAATTCGATCAGCTGGTGCTTCTCCAGCTGCTGTGCTAGGCTGATGTTGTCAAAGTTGTCATAGGCATCAATAGATGCCCTCAAGCCCTAGGAAGACAGCCTTCTGTGAGAGAAGAGGAACTATAACACAGCTTGTCTGCATAGTGAGCAAGCACCAGAAATTACAGAAAGACTTCTGCTTACCTGTCTACTGGTGCCCACAAACCCCCCTGTGCAGGGCAGCCTGCTGTGGGAATGGACTGTCAGATATAGAGGGCCACACAAGTGTCTGGGTTGCCTTATCCACATCTACCTGATAATCTTCCTCCTCAGTCAGCAAGTAGTTCAGTGCCTCGTTCACACTCTTGTTGTTGTGGCTCTGGACTGACCGCAGGTAAGGCTTCACGAGGGATAGCTGGCCTGCCTGACAAGTTGGGAAAATGGTCAAGGGATTTGGTCTGGGTAGGAGGTGCCCAGGACACACCAGTGAGGTGTTGAGGTGGGCATGGGTCCAGGAACTATATCTTCCAGACAACTAGGACCAAAGGGCCTACACACTGATATGAAGAGGATAGCCTGGGCTACTCAGTCAAGACTATTTAATTTATGGACAGGGATAGGAATACAAATTTGTATCTGAGACCTAAATCAGTCCGATAAACTTAACATGGAAATTTAAAAGCCTGTTTAGGAAGGTGCTACCTTCCATGTGGCCTTAACAGAGCTAACCTGATACCCCTTCTCTGCAGACATGGGGTTCTGGCCAACTCACCTTTGAAAAGAAGCTGACTGTCCTGTTATGGTCCAGCCGGGGGGACAGCACCATCAGTAGATCATTTATGAGCAAAGGCTTGTAATCCAAGTAGAATTGCAGGGCTTTGTAATAGAGTTCCACATTGGCTACCTGGAAGGTAGCAAAGCTGAGGATCAGTCTCTGTCCTGCTTCCAGATACCCCAGCTCCACTGCGCCATCTTCTGGCTTTTTTCTCAGATGGCACTTTGGTAGTGAGATCAATATTGACACACCAAAAACTGAAGGGCCAGATACATTCCCTCCCATTTTGTGGTATGTTTCTCCATAGAAATCTGACACTTTGTGCACTTCTGTTTCTTGCCTGCCTCACTCAAGCAGCTATACCAATATCTGACACAAGACTGATGTTCAAGCAGCAGCAGATGCTCCTGCTGTTGAATAAATGAAGTGTAATAAGCCTACACCAAAATGAAGAAACACAATGTTTTATTCAGGAAGATTTCTCCAGCCCTCACTGTTCTGTCAGAATACTGGCAGTTCATCCAATTACATCTCGAGTGCTTTCACACCAAACACAACTCAGAACCTAATGTAGTCCAAGACCAACAGGCACCCTGTTAGAGGGTCAGTCGTTCTGGATGGATGCCAGGCCACTGAGAAGGCCTGTCCTCTCAGGTTTCAAGTTCTGGCCAGGCTGCATTCTTTTGCTGACTGACAAGTCACTTGATGGCTTTCTGATGGTCGCATAATGTCCAGGGCCTGCACAGAGCTCTGCTGTTCAGGCAGCAAGGTAGTTCTTGCCCTTTGGAAGGCAATGACCCAGGCCAGCATGATGTGTGTTCATGTGAGCAAGAAGGGGTATTTGGATGTGCATGGGGCTGCTATAGCCATTCCAAGCCAGAGATGGACACCATGGGAACTTCTAAAGCTGGATTGAGGTGATCCAGGAGTTATGTGGGGCCTGGTAAGGTGCACGGATCAGAAGATTGGGAAGGAGTGCCATTGTGGCCCTCTATGGTTTACCAACCACTTTGGCCTCTATTGCTTTTCCTTTGTGCTTCCATTGTTTCTATCCACCCCCTTTCAGTACTTGTGATCAAACCGAGGGCCTTTACACTGAGCTACATCCCCAAGCCTTTTGATACTTTTGTTTTTTATTTTTGCCTGGAGTGCTAGGATTATAATTCTCTCTTATGCTGCAGCACTAGCTGTCATCACAGATTCTGACAAGGTCAGAAACAGAGCAGGGAAATGGCCCAGGGCTGTTACAATGCTCTGCCTGTGCGTGGCCTGCTGCCAGCCTTGGTTTCCTAACTGCTGTGGATATTAGATCTCAGGAATTTGTGATCTTTCCAGGCTGGTCCCTTCACTAAGTATCTAATAAGCAAAAAAGACCGTGAGGCTATCCCATAGGATGAGGTGTGCAGGCAGATTTCAAGTCCTGCTGAAATCTGCAGTCCTGCTGGCCGTGCTTGCCAATCACAAAGTACCTCAGGATGATAGTCAAACAAAAAGATGGTGTACAGGAACACACACATCTCTCTGAAGTTCTCATGACAGGTTACAGGGGCTGGTCGAGTTGACAGTGGTGGCCACTAAAACCAGGTAGCACTAGCCCTGTCTTTCCCTGTATGGGCACCTGGGATGATGGACGTTCTCTACCCGTTAAGCAAGTCTACATGAGTACCAGGGTTCCATCACATCCCTCTGGGTCGTACAATTAGCCAAGCGCCCATCTCAATCACTGGTGCTAAGCTGCAGGGATCTGGAGTCTTCTGTCACTGTATGGAGTTCAGTGGGTTCTATGGACCATCTGCCATACCCACCGTTCTGTCCCTGAGTGATGCTGGGTGAGGTCACTGTCCATACAGCAGATTAGGAACATCACAGAATCCCAGGGGGTAAGGCTGCTTCTCAGTTTATAGATTTTTTTTTTCAGAACTGGGGATTGAACTCAGGCCCTTGAGCTTGTCAGGCAAGTACTTATTCTACTGAGCTATCTCCCCGGCCCCAGAAAATTAAGGCTTATAGATTTTGTAATGAACTCTAAGGTAACCACTTGCTGTGTATCTAATTCATGAGAAGGATCCCATTCACTGAGGGCCCTGCCACTGACCACTTGGTTGGAGGAACCACTATGTCCATTTCATCGATGGTGTAACTCAAGTTTACACTAAGTAAGTTCCTAGGCCATAGTCAGAGATGGTGAGTAGTATAGCCAGAATGCCAACCCCATCTTTACCAGTGAACCCCTGCTTGCTCTGTCACTACCTAGCCAGGTGTTGGGTAGACTGCAGAGCATTTTGTCTCCTGTGTCTGTAATATAGACTGAATGTCAACCTTGCCTGGTCCCTCACACAGTCTAGTGTTCTGTTTGACTGGGGATGTCATTTCTACCCTGCCTGTTGTTCTACATTATAAGCTGATGTGACATATCTCCTGCATGGCAGAGTGATAGAAGCTTTGTGTATCACACAAAAAAGGGACTTGGCCATAAGCTCCATGCATGGCTGCTCTTCTATACAACAGGCCTCATATGTCCTGCTGTTATTTTATGTCACTAATAAACAAGTGCTGCCACTTCAACCGTGGCATGTCATTTTAAGTATCTAAGAAGTTAAAAAAGTACCCATAGATGGACATTCTTAGCCCTGTTTTTTTTTCGTAGCCCTGTTAAACAAGTCTACATGAATACCAGGGTGCCATATGTCCCTAGTAAATGGGATTATATAGCATCTGGACCTACCTGTGTGGAATGGGCCACAACAGTGTGTTATCTGCCTGTGTTCTACCAGAAACTTGCAGATCCTGCTCAGGGTGAGTTGTCACATCAGAGGCTTCCAGTTTCCATACTTCTATGTCAGGTAATGTGGATGTTTTCCACCAAGAACCTTGTAAGTGTGGTGCTTGATCTGAAGGATGACTCTTCCTTCAGAAGGTTCCTAAGAGGCACAGGGCCCAAAGATCTCCCTTGGCTACCACCTACATTCACTGTACCAGCTGTACACAGAAAAGAAAGTACCTGAGGAAGGCAATAACTGCCAGAAAGTCCTTGTCCTGACTGGAAAGTGGTGGGAATGGATGAAGTCAGGATGTTTCCTTTTCACTGAAGATTGCAGAGGGGAGAGATTGGTGGACCAATTATTTACCCCAAGAACAAAATGAAGACACTCAATTCAAAAGGACTGGGGACTGATGACAGATTTTCATTTCCTCCTAATTTGCATTCAGAGCTAAGCAAAAGACAGGTCCTGAAGCTGTACACTGTCAGACCAAAAACATAAAGGAGCAATGGCTTGCTTGGTGTTGCCACCCAAACTTGTTGTGGTAGCTGAGTTCAGTACCCCAGTTAGCCCAATGAGACTAGGAGAGGGATAGCTACTGGGCAGCCTAGGCTAATTCCCCCACTATGGGTGTTTCCTGTACTCTCCCTCTAGAGCTGGCAGTTTGGTGTCCCCTACTCCTAGAACACAGCTGGCAGCAGCAAGAAGGCACTGGTGCTCTGCATCCCCACTTACCTTGGCAATGACATCTTTGAACTGACTTTCTTTCCAGGCCTCAATGGGGTGACTCATCATGGTAAGGATGACATTATCATACTCCTCATGCTTGTCATAGAGAAAAACCAACTCTGCCCAGAGGTGTGCCTGCTTTGCAGCTCTCAGCACCTGAAAGAGGTGGACACAGGAGGAATTAGCATGTGTCACTTGTGAACCTGACAGCTGGAACCTTGAGGAGGGCACAGGTACCTTTGGGATGTTGACCCGGGACCAGAAGAGCTCCAGGTGCTCTGGCATCTTTTGTGGTTTGAACTTGGAGTAGAGGATGGCCAGCTCTGTGAACATGCCCATGTGGGCCCTTTCTAGGCCTAGGGCTGCCTCTAGCAGGAAGATGAGCTCCTCAAAGTAGCCACGATCCTGGTAGACAAACATCCACATGTACAGCAAAGGAACTGTGCACTTCCCGGCAGCCAGACCCCCATGAAAGGCAGGGCAAGCTCAGGACAAGTGCAACGACTACAAATGATTGTGAGGAGATATACGGAACTAAAAATTATACTACCTCACTTAGTAACTAGTTGGATCATGTTGGGTCAAGTTGCAAAATAGCCCATAATGCTTCAGTTCTCAAGTTTAAATACCAACTGATGTTCCTTTTTTTTGGAGATAAGGTCTTGCTAAGAAGCCTAGGCTGGCCTCAAATTCCCAATTCTCTTGCTTCAGCTTTCTGAGTGCTGGAATTAAATGTGTACACATATCATGCCTGGTTTAACTGTTGCCATTTTTGTTAAAAAATTAAAATTTATTTATTTATTTGGTACAGGGTCTCACTATGCAGCTGAAACCTGATCCTCCTGTTTCAGCCTCCCCAGCGTTGGGATTACAGGTAGGTGCCACTACCCCTGAATGATTTGTTTTAATCTGTTTTCACAGTGCACTCCTTTCAGAACCCTGACTCCCCAAACCCAACTCTACTCAGAATGCAACCACTGTCCCATCATGTGACTATATTCCCAGTTGGGATGGCCAGCCATTTACATTCAGACCCAATCCTCTCAGCTATGTTCACTGTATAAGACAGGTTTTGATCACAGACTAAAAACCATGCTGGAGCCCTGGAAAAACACTAACCACATGCACTATATCTCTGTACATTATGACCATAGACCTGGAGAAGACCCACCCCAGGGACCACCTCACACCTTTCCTTCACCTCAAGACACCTTCTATGCCCTCATTAATACCCTTGCCTGCAGCATTTGCATACTCTGAGGCACTCTGCCTGTGCTTCTACCTTGCATCCACCAGCTATGGCTCCAGTCTCCACTGGTTGCCCCCTAACACCACAGCTCTAGTGGCTTCTCTCCCTGCAGATGGCCTTCAGAAAACCTCCTGAGTATCATGCCTAGGACACTCTTTTGTCTTGACTCCTTGTCATTTCCCAATTACAAGCCCTTTTCTGCTCCTCCCTGTAGCAAAATCACCCCCCAAAACATGTGTTCTCATGTTGCTCCTGGATTTCTCTAGCGCCTCCCCCCCACCACCCAGTGCTCTTACTCTGTTTTCTCTCTTGAGCTAGCTGGAGCCCATTCCATGTTATGGGGGGACTAGACAGCTTCAGGAACCCCACAGGTAGAGGCCTGGGACTCTCAACATATGGATAACTTGTATCAGCCATTCTACTTCAGAGCCAATGTACAATGTGAACTGTGCCCTGCATGCCAAGTGTATGCCCCTGAGACCCTCTCTTGAATGTGCTTAGGGCATCTGATCCTCACACATACTATGGGCTGCACACAGTGGCTGTCATGGCTTTCCCCATATTGTCAGGAAGTTTTTATGTGCTATACCTGTTATGTAAGCCACTTTGCTTTTCCAGGCCCAGACAAAGAGAGAGGATTTTGTTAAAACCCAACACTAGCCAATGCGAGGCCCAGAGAAGCTAGCAAAACAATGTGAATTTAACTTACAAATTAGTTGGCTGCACATGGAAGGAATCTTTCCCAGACCTGATGTTTTATGTAAGTACACATGCCTCTTTGTGAGTGCAATGCTGTTGGTCACTGTCCTGTACTAAGGCAGCACTATCCCTTTATTTGGAATGCTGATATTACTCATCATCTGCATTCCTGGCAGACCTCCTCACCTGGTAATACTGTATCAGCTCCTCCAGCTCATCTGCATGAATGACAATGTGAAGGCCACACAGCTGTGCAAGGTGGAACTCTTGCCCATCCACACAGGCAAAGCACACCTAGGAAAAGGGACTCAGACTGAGTGGCCCCAAGATAGGACCCAGCTCCACAACAATGCATGTAGCTGAGAATGCAGAAATACCAGATAAAGAGGCTTTATGAGCAAACAAAGGGCTCTGAACAAGTAGATTACTGTAAGAGCTGCCAAAGATTGGAAGAAAAATTACATTATTAATCTGCAGGCCAAGGGGGTGTTTGAGACCAAGGAGAGAAGAAAACATGTATTACTTCCCAAGCCCTGAGATATGGAGGCTTGTTTAGGTAAATGAAGAGTCTTGTTGGAACCTGAGGTTTGTGGTTTCAAAACAGATTAATACAGCTCAAAAATAAATATCAGAACATAGTGTAACTGAGTGTAGTTTACGTAGGAGGAGCATGCCAAATGGTACTTTTGTTGTCTGCACCATACTATGTATGTTCTGCATTGTAATAGGTGTGAAAAATCAAGCAGGCCCATGTGCGGAGGGGTCGTGGAGTTGACATTCTTTTATTATTATTACTACGAATCAAATCCATGATCTCATATTTGCCAGGCAGGTGCTGTTGAGCTATATCATCCCTGGCCCCTGAGATTTTTTTTTTGTACTGCGGATTCAACTTAGGTCCTTGTGCCAGGAGGCTCTAAGTGCCAGGCATGCACTTATGCTGCTGAGCTATTTGCCTGGTGAGAATCTTTTTACAGTTTATTAGACCATTCTGGGCCAAAACCAGAGCTGAGCTTGCTGCAGCCTCCCTACTTTCCTCACCTTCTATAAACAGCCCATGTTCTCCAAGTGGATAAAAAAGAACATGCAGATAAACAATCACTTAACCCAGTTGTCATTAACTTGAGATAATCTCTGGCCTATTATTTTCATATATTTTTGGTACCAAGAATCGAACTCAGGACCTTGTGCTTGGCTAAGCAGGCACTTGTGCCACTAAGCTATTATCCCTAGCTCCTGGTCTATTATTTTCTTTTTCTTTTTTCTTTTTTCTTTTTTTAATTTTTTATTTATTTATTTTTTGTGTGTGGCCAGCTCAGCCCACCAGGGGGCAGGGCTGGCTGGCATGTGGTGCTGGGGATTGAACCGCGGTCCCTGTGCTTTGCTTAGCTTAGCTTGTTCTAAGTAGGTGCTTTAGACCACTGAGCCATCTCACCAGCCCCATGGTCTATTATTTTCAATGTGATAAATACACTAACATTGCACTAACATTTATACACACCATGGATTTTGTTATACACTATGTTTCACAGCACATCCTCCCATGTTACTGGAAACATCTTTTCTTGTGATTGCCTATTCATTCATTTTACTTTTGAGACAAAGTCTTACTGTGCAGTTCAGACTGGTCTTGAACTCACTATGTACAAGGCAATCCTCCTGTCTCAGATTCCCAAGTACTGGGCTTACAAGTGTGTGCCACTATGTCTGGCTGACTGCCTATTCATTTTTTTTTTTTTTTTTTTTTTTTTTTTTTTTTTTTTGTGGAACCGGGGATTGAACTCAGGCCCTTGAGCTTGGCAGGCAAGTGCTTATTCCACTGAGCCGTTTCCCTGGCCCCCTTGCCTATTCATTTTGAACACGTGAACAGTGTTGAAATACAAAATACTTAACCAAGGCCTTAATATTGAACTTAATATTGAACAAACTGATTTGAATCTTTTTAAAAATCTTTGATGCTTCAGAGATTCATCTCTTTACAAAATTTTGTGCATTTACAGACAATTCTGATTTATTTATTTAATGTATTTGGTACAGAATCTACAGGGGCTGCAGGGTCTCACTATGTAGATCAGACTTGTAGTGATTCTCCTATTTCCAGCCTCCCAAGAGCTGGGATTACAGGTGCGCGCCACCATGCCCAGTCTCAATCGCCATCTCAGTGTGTCCTGGGGGTGGGGCTGGCATGGCACACCAGGGATTGAACTCCAGCCCCTGCAACAGTTCTAATTTATGAAAGCCACTGTACCAATTTGTCACAAAAGACCAAGAATGCTAGTTTATAGTAACTATGCTATTATGTAGACAACAAATTTAGGAAGTGATGTGGTAAGACTTAAATTGCTGACAATTCCATGCTATTAAGACAGCTTCTGGGAGCTGGTCTGACATGGAGTTGTCTAGGGCCTTTGCCTCCCACCATACATGCTAATTTATGAATTTCTATGAGTTATTACAAAGAACTGAGATCCCTACTTGGATCAGAGGTCCACACTGGACTTATGTTGTTTGGCAGAAGAATGCGGAGTACAACAGGAAAGACAGGAAAGAATGCTTGTCAGAAAGCACTCTCCAGTAGACTTTCTACAACTTACCTCCTTCCAGGTCCTGGTGCTGTTGGCCTTGCGGCTGCTATCCACTGCTGCTTGATACTCACCCAGGTGGACCAAGGTGGAAGCTAGGCGGGCAAAGTTAGAAACACTATGAAACAGCAGCTTGGCGGCCTCATACATGCCCTCTTCATAACAGCGGTCTCCAACCTATGGATAAGTAGGGAGTTCTGGTGAGACATTTTTACACATATTTCTTTTTAAAGTCATTTATTTATTTATTTGGCTGGCATAGCATGTGGTACCAAGGATTGAACTTGGGTCTTTGTGCTTGCCAGGCAGGCGCTTAGACTGCTGAGCTATCTCCCCAGCCCCTATGTATTATTATCCAACATTTTTATTAATTTTGTCACTATGAAGTCAATTTTTGAAATTATGTGATTACTGACTGGGAAAATAACATCGTAAACACAAGTAAGTAAAAGGAAAATAATGTAGAACTGCTAATTCTATATTTCCGAGTGTTCGCAGTTCCCACTGTGAGGGTTTGTCCAGTCATATATGTTTGCTGTATCATGCCATTTTTCACCCTGCTTAAAATTGATCTGAAAGGTTTCTGTTCAAGAACCAGATTCTACAGAGTTTTAAAAGTTGTACTAGGGGCTGGGGAGATAGCTCAGGCAAGCGCAAGGGACTGAGTTCAATCCCTGGTTCCTCAAAAAAGAAAAAAGTTGTACTATATTCCATTAGTGGATGCTGCTATTTTGTTGTTATTGTGGTTTTTTTTTTTTTTCCTGTGGAACTGGGGATTGAACTCAGGCCCTTGTGCTTGACAGGGAAACACTTATTCCACTGAACCATCTCCCCAGCCCTATTGTTTGTTTTTTTGAGTCAGGGTCTTGCTATGCAGTTCAAGCTGGCCTTGAGCTCACTTTGTTCCCAGGCTGGCCTCAAATTTGCAATAATCCTCCTGCCTTACTCAGCCTCCCGAGTGCTGGGATTACAGGAGTGTGCCGCCAGAGAATTAATTATTGATAAACTGTTAACCCATGAAGAAACACCATGGGTAAAATTATTGAAAATAACATTCACTTTATAAAAGCTTAATTAGAATCAGCAAGAAATGCATGCAAACAATACAGAGAATGTTACTGAAAACTATCTGAAAAAATGGGTGCTGCTCTCACCATTAAAAAAAGCCTGTGCTGGCCAGAAAGATCATCAGACTAAGCAGGTGCAGACCGGGGTTGGATCCCGGGTGTGCCTTGCCGGCCCTGACCCTGGGGTGCGCTGAGATGGGAGTGGTGGTGCACGCTGTAATCGCAGTGCTTGGGAGGCTGAAAACAGGAGGATCACTACAAGTCTGATCTGTGGTGAGACCCTGCAGACCCTGCATTAAAAACATAAAATTAAGAAAAGAAAGCCCAATATGTTATAATGTTTTGTACACTGCACAAATCAGGTGCCTTTATATATGAAATACCTTAAAGAAGTTCATGAATATAAATAAAGGAAAAAATTTGATTATTGCAATAATTTTAATTGATATGAATAGTATTAATATTTATATATGTGCAATAATTACTTAAATTCAAGCAATTAACTAGATTCCATCCACTTATGGACTTTTATTAAATTTATTAGTAACAAGACTGATATAAGTGATTAGAACCCATGGGATGGTCATACACGTACCACTGGGGGTCAAGCTGGGGTAAATGATAAACTATTTTCCTTTGTGCTTTCCTCCATTGTCTATATGCTTAAAAATTCATTTCTTCTATAAAGATACAAATAATATTTCAAAAAATGTTTATTGTTTGAAGGGAGGATAGGGAAATAGGAAAAATAAGACTCAAGTAATATCATGTATACATACAAATTCTGTATAATGAAAGTGATCATTATGTATACTACTCAAAAATTGTTTTTATTCAAGAAACACACTTATTGGAACTGGGCATGGTGGCGCATGCCTATAATCCCAGTACTTGGGAGGTTGAGACAGAAGATTCCTTGATTCCTTGTGAGTTCAAGACCAGTTTGGGAGCTATAAAAGTGAACACAATGCTACCCTGTCTTATATATATTATATA